ATAATAGGCATACTGACTCCTACTTATTGTCTTTCGGATTAACTTAGATATCACTTCACTCAAGTAGCTGGACACTGCCTGAAAGTATCAGGTGTGCCTTATGTGCTTCCATAGTATTCTATATTTGGCCCATAATAGTTCTTATCATCACTTGGGAGGGGGGATCTTGTATTTACATTTGCATTTACACCTGGTTCATTGCATTTATACCTGGTTCATAGCAAACCCTCAAGAAATAGTTCTAGAACAAAGAAAAGAGAATCAAAATCTGAAACCGTAGCAAATAAGTGAGAGCGCAGTTTTAGATAAGCTTGTAGGTATTTGGCTGAGAAGTGATGGAAATATCCTTGTAAAGCCAGAGGAAGATTTCTCTTTTGAGAATGAGGAGTGTGGTCTAGAATGAAAAAGATTTAGAATAATCACTGAGGGGATGTAACAGGAAAGAGAGAAAGAATACATTTAAAAGATAGCCTTAAACAAGTGCTATAGAATGAGGGTAAAATTCTTGAGGTTAAAACAAAAAATCAACCAAAAAAATGTCTTTAAGAACGTTACTGTGAGTTCTTCCCTGACTATCGACAATTAGAAAGTTTATCTGTGTATCTTTCTGAAATCTACTTGTATACAATAAATATCTTCTGCTTTAAAATGGGTTGTTGAAACAAAGTTCAGAAGGAAAATACATCTCTGTTCTATTTCCAAAACATTTTTTTTTACACTGAATGTATTAACATCAGTCAGTACTTGAGCAACATTAAGGAACCTAGGACATAAAAAGAAATTCACCCACTCTTTAAATGGGTGAATTTTGTGAAATGTGAGTTATATCTCACAATAATGCTTTTAAATTAAAAAAAAACGAGAAACCTTTTCCATAACAAAACTAAAGAACAGAAAAATTTGACCAATTTTAGCTCACGTAACATATCAAGGAATTTCTTAGAAGGTGGCTTTCTGTTTGGGGGAACAAAGGCACAGGTGAATTATGATGGAATAGATCTAATCTTGGAACAAAAACATCAAGTCAAGTTTATTTTTTTTATACTGGACTCCTTCTCCACCACCACCTGTATAAATATATGTCATAACTTGCTGCGACCCCACAATGTTTTCCAGCTTGCTCTTTTCTTTGCATTTCCTCACTTCCACAGAAGCAGACAAATGAAAACAAAAACAACTACTCAAGAATTACCTAAAATTGTTTTATCCATTTCCTTTCTTTATAATTCTCTTTAGCATACTTCAATGAGGATTTCATCTTTACTACAAACCTGGCATTGCTCTTGTCACGTCATAGATGACTTCCATCTTGACACCCAATGGCAACTTCTCTGTCTTCACTCCTGAAAATTCTAAGTAATGCCCAACACAATCATTTAGTTTTTCTGGAAACATAAATGTCACTAACTTTTATCAGATTATTTAGGTTGAAATCTTAGTAGTCAAACTTGATTAATCTCTTTCCTTTTATTCCTACATACAATATGTCAGCGAGTCCTGCATATTCAACCTTAAAACATATGCAGAATGAGTCCACTGTTTTTCAAAGCTCTGTTCCCACCCAACGCCAAAACGTTATCTTTTTCTACAAGTCTGTTCTCTACCTGATAATATGCTATATTTAAGATATATAGTCTTTGTTGAACTTTACCGTATATATAACATATACATGTAGATATATGTATATATATATACACAGAAAAATACAAAAATTATTAATTTAAGTCTTTACTGAAGTCTCTTGAAAGGGTGCAGATAGGGAAGTCCTTTGTTTAATAGAAAATAAACTTCCTTACTCATCTGTCCTCCTCAAAGTTCCAAACTGCAGGAATTGCTTGCCTTCATAAAAACTTCACTAGTAGCCTATTGTTGATCAAAACCCTTAACAATAACATAAACAGTCAATTAACACATATTTTGTATATCTATTGCATACCGTATTCTTACAATAAACCTAAGAAAAAGAAAACATTACTAAGAAAATCATAAGAGAAAATATATTTACCATTTATTAAGTGGAAGTGAATCATCATAAAGGTCTTTGTCCTCACTGCCTTTATGTTGAGAAGACTGAGGGCTGGTTTTGCTGTTTCAGGGATGATGAAGGTAGAAGAAAATCCTCATCTAAGTGGACTCATGAAGTTCAAACCTGTGTTATTCAAGGGCCAACTGTGTATGTAAATTTTAGAACACCACCAGCCTGGGTGACACGGTGAGACTCTGTCTTTACTAAAAATAAATTAGATGGACATGGTGGCACAAGGCTGTATTCCTAGCTACTCAGGAGGCTGAGTGGGAGGATTGCTTGAGCCCAGGAGTTGGAGGCTGTGGTGAGCAATGATCCCACCCCTGCACTCAGGCCTGGGCAACAGAGAGAGACCTTATCTCAAAAACAAAATTTTGGAAGAATAAAGTGGCTGTATTAATTTACTAGGAATTCTGTAACAAGGTACAACAGACTGGCTGGCTTAAAAAACAAATTTGTGCGCGGTGTCTCACGCATGTAATCCCAGCACTTTAGGAGGCCAAGGTGGGTGGGGTCGGGAGTTTGAGACCAACCTAACTAACATGGAGAAACCCCATCTCTACTAAAAATACAAAATTAATCAGACATGGTGGCACATGGCTGTAATCCTAGCTACTCAGGAGGCTGAGGAAGGAGAGTCACTTGAACCTGGGAGGCAGAGTTTGCGGAGAGCCGAGATCGCGCCATTGCACTCCAGCCTGGGCAGCAAGAGCAAGGCTCTGTCTCAAAAGCAAACAAACCTAGAAATTAATTTTCTCACAATTCTGGAAGCTAGAAGCCTGAGATCAAGCCTAAGATAGCCCTGTTGACAGGATAGGTCCCTTCTAAGAGCTGTGAGGGAAGAATCTAACCTCTCTTCTTGGCTTGAAGAAGCCATCTTCTCCCTGTCCTCACATTGTCTTTCCTCTGTATGTGTCTGTTTCCAAATTTTCTTTTCTTCTAAGGACACTAGTTATATTGGAATAAGGCTCACCCTATTTACCTGATTTTAATTTAATTATCACTTTAAAAACCCTAACTCTAAATGGAGTAATATTCTGAGTTACTGGGGATTAGAACTTTAGCATGTGAATGTTTTAGGAGAAGAGGGCACACAGTGCAGCTGATAATAGTGGTTTTCCTGCTTTTGTTTGGATACTTGCTATTCTGCTGAAGACAATTCATAGAATCTTTTTATTGGTTCTTTTCTCCATTTTTACAAACTCAAGCTAATATCTAGCTTAATGAAAGAGAAAAAGGCATATACAGCATTTAAGATAACTGAGTCTTTGATAGGAAAGCTGGATGCTGCTGTAAAGTGCCTTAAGTCTTTCAAAATATTGTTCTAATGAGTAAAATTAAGGACATTTCAGGACACAATATATTATTTTAATTGTACGGTAAACCAAATGTTAGTTTCAGTCTTTCCTATTAAGAAGCAATAGTTGAAGCATTTTCAATGATGACTGACTATACTTGTTTCTCCTCATAATAATAAATTTATAATAACTAAATCACATGGACTTCACACTAGCAGTATTTGTTAACAATTTTGACTTAAGGTGTTGCCAAGGTTCTGATCACTCAATCCTGTACTACTGAAATATTAATCAGGGCAGACTAAGCTTTCTAGTGGAAATACCTTGAAGGAGAAGGTAATTCCTAAATATACAGAGTTAACTTGACTGTCTTGTTGTATCCTGTGTCATTTCCCCCATATTAATATTTGATAATGTGTTTAATTTCTATAAATGCCTAAAGCAGAACCATAGCTCCTCTTTGGAAAATGGAAATCTTTGGGATAAAAGATTCTATGTGAATAGTACCAAAGCATTACCACATAGTAACTAATATTTCTATTAAAATATTATGTATCTGAAAAATAAAACATGCCAAGTCTTAAGTATGACACAAAGGAAAGGTTAATGCTTCTTGGATTACATTTCTAGAGAGCTTACCAAGGGTATAAATAGTTGACTGTTTTGTTTGTATTATGTGACTGACAATGTCACTGAAAACCTGCACAATGCAGTTTTAGCTATGGATTCAGTTGGCATTTGTGAAGGTTTTACCTGTGTAAAATGGGTGTTTGGTTTGTTTTAACCTATTAGGGTATATTTCTTTTTCTACTTTATCAGTTAAAAAAAAATCCACTAGAAGATGGCCGGGCGCGGTGGCTCACGCCTGTAATCCCAGCACTTTGGGAGGCCGAGGCGGGTGGATCACGAGGTCAAGAGATCGAGACCATCCTGGTCAACATGGTGAAACCCCGTCTCTACTAAAAATACAAAAAATTAGCTGGGCATGGTGGTGCGTGCCTGTAATCCCAGCTACTCAGGAGGCTGAGGCAGGAGAATTGCCTGAACCCAG